GCGGTCAGGATATCTCTCCCGTAGAATGCAAATCTCGGTTTCACAACTCACAATTTCAAAAACAATTCACGAGAATATAAAAGCACTTCTACAAATTTTCATTTTGTGGAAAATGCAAATGTCAGGAACCAGCAAGATTTTCAAGTCTTTTGCAGAATGATGTGGATGGAAACTTGCTTGGTTTCCATCCAAGCAATCTTTCCATGGCTTTTTCAGATTTTTCCGCAAAAATTCCCTAGTGTTTTTGTTTGTTTTGGAGAGTTTTTCCTAATTTAAATTAGCATTTGACTGAATGGTGTCCTTTTTTACTCTGAAAATTAGAGCTTAGTATTTTTGGTAAAGTTCGGCAAATGCGTCCTACAGCTAATTTTGCTTGACGCACTATGAGCAACTTCTGCTCTGCTATAAGAAGCATTGTGCATATTTTACAAACGTGTTGAAAATTTGAATGCAAATCAATTCCAGAATTTTCCACGGTGACTGACGCAGTGTTCCTTTCTTGGTGAAATGTTTCATTTGTGTTAATTCTATGAATTAAACAGGGTTGTGCAATGTGAGTGCAGTTTCTCAATGCTGAATACTTGTGGAACGTGAAACTGCAAAGTTTAGAAACATTCATTGGATGGATATTCTAAACAGCCATGAGAAAATTACGCACAAGCTTGGGCATCATGTTCATCACTGCGTTTGTCCTGCTTATTGCCCACAATACTGGGTTCATGACTTCGATCCTTGGATATGTGTGAGTATACCTACAACGCCTTTTTTTAAAGACAGATCTTTAATCTTAGGGTGACGTGATTTGGATAGCATTCAAAGACTAACTCGGCAAATTGTGTAATTTACCAGATTAAGTTACACCAAATTTTTAATGTTGGGAATGGAAGTTCTGCCAAAAAAAAAAACTATGACGCCGACTTTAATAGGGACGTGCACTCATTTAGGCTGTAAATGACTTTTATCCATCTATTGGCACTTACGTTTTTTTATGTTTGCTTGATTTAAATTTATTTAGATTCCACATCATCAGAAGTAAACTACCAAAAGAATTTAGGATTATTCTCACAATTCAATAGAAAAATTAGGTCTGAAATCTTGGAGGATACCAGGGAAAAGTGTTGGTTCTATTCTATGTGATTTTATCAGACCTAAACTAATTGATGAATAAAAGCTATAAAGTTCTCCAGATGTCTCTCACGTCTTTATTCTTGAATACTTACCATTGTAAGGTATTCTCAGCTTAGGTCCAACAAATTCAGTAAGGAGAAGATTTTTATTCCTTATTGCTGGGTTATTCAAATGAAGACTCCTTGAGAATTCTAAGAAAGAACAGGAGTGTTTATTTTTGTATTCAACAAGTTTGGGCAATGTAAAATAACATGAATGAATGAATGAACAGAAAACTTTATTTGCCGCTTTTCAGCATTCACAAGGCACAACCAAGACTCCCGCATCCAAACCCCCTCCCCACCCAACCCAACTCCCCCCAAAGACATTCAATCACTTCAAATCATGAAACAAAGCACAAACCAATGACAAAAACAGAAGAGAAATAAAATAAAATAACATAAGATCTACTAACAAGCATAGGAGATACAATAAGCGCGCAAACAGAGAAAGGTAGGAATCTTGATGTAGACTTCAGAGTCCAATATTTGGCAAAACTGGTCAGACCTGGATCTGAACTGATTTTGGGCTGAGTTGCATAACTTGGCAGCTCATGACTTGGTGGGCTGGTAAGTCATTGGGAACACAAAAGTAAGGAACATGCAACTGCCACATGAGTTGTCGGCTAGCAGCAAGAATGAATGGTAGAAATTATTTTTTGACAATGATATCTCCATAAAAATTCATTCCAAGTTACTCAATCAATTTATTGTTAATTATTTGGGAATAGGCTGATTACCCTGTGCTTTGCATTATGTTCACTACAGTATTTGCCAAGTGTTATGCCGTTTTTATCAAAGAAGGTGTGTGCCAACCAAAGAATTCATGCACTTGAATTTACTGTGATGCATACAGTATATAGTTTCAGTTATTTTAGAATTGATATGCGTTTGTTCAAGGGGTGCTGGGGGAAAATGTTTTGAACCTTGTGAATGTTGCCAATGAGCTGCAAATAAAGGATATTCAACAATTCATCCATGCACATCCCAAAACGTGGCCTTCATAATTTTACCACATTTTTATGAACTCACTTTCTTGTCTGTCTGTCTGTTTGTCCGGATCAAATTTTGAAACTCAAATTTCACTCACTTCCCGACTAGCTATCAAGCTGAAACTTTCAGGATAGCTTAGAAACTGATGACAATGCAATCTTTTGTGAAAAAATTAATTTTAAGAATATTTTTTAAAAAGAATAAAATAATTATAGTAGATTTCTATAATAAAACTTTGAGCAGGTTTTCCTTGGCCCCAAGAAAAAAACCCATGGTGAACTGAATTGGTCGCAGAGGTCCGAGTTCAATCCCACCCCCTGGAACATTTTTTTTTCTAATTAATTAACACGTTTTTTTTAACTCACTTTCTTGTCTGTTTGTTTGTCCAGATCAAATTTTGAAACTCAAATTTCACTCACTTCCCGACTAGCTATCAAGCTGAAACTTTCAGGATAGCCTAGAAACTGATGACAATGCAATCTTTTGTGAAAAAATTAATTTTAAGAATATTTTTTAAAAAGAATAAAATAATTATAGTAGATTTCTATAATAAAACTTTGAGCAGGTTTTCCTTGGCCCCAAGAAAAAAACCCATGGTGAACTGAATTGGTCGCAGAGGTCCGAGTTCAATCCCACCCCCTGGAACATTTTTTTTTCTAATTAATTAACACGTTTTTATTAACTCACTTTCTTGTCTGTTTGTTTGTCCGGATCAAATTTTGAAACTCAAATTTCACTCACTTCCCGACTAGCTATCAAGCTGAAACTTTCAGGATAGCCTAGAAACTGATGACAATGCAATCTTTTGTGAAAAAATTAATTTTAAGAATATTTTTTAAAAAGAATAAAATAATTATAGTAGATTAAAAAATTAATCTAAAAAACCACGTTTTCAAAAAGCAAAAAATAACCTTAAACGTGGTGTGCATGGAGATTGTTGGGAAGAAGTGAAATAAAAATGAAATATATGCGCACCACATTTAAGGTTATTTTTTGCTTTTTGAAAACGTGGTTTTTTAGATTAATTTGTTAATCTACTATAATTTTTTTACAAGCATCTTTCTCAAAATATAAATTCTCAGTCTGGTCCCTTCATTGGATTCACGTGAACCATGTATGAACCATTCATAGAAGTTATAAAAGCACTCCCCATACTCGCATCGCAGCCTAACAAATGCATGTATCACTCGGTTGTCCCTCTCATTTTAAAGACATTTTACTATCATAAGATACAAATTACATGTTCGCAACATGAATTATATCTTTTCCTCATTATTATATTGGGAAATATTCCGTCTTGCGAAAAAAGGAGGAGTTTCTCTCCTCCACAAACCTGGTATAAAAGGCCGACGTGTCATGTACTGTAGTTAGCACTTCTGTTCCTCGGCATATTTTTTTCCCTGTGCCATCCAAGAGCTTCCTTGCGTTTATTGGGCCAACTTACTCGGCTGACAGGGTTTTGAGTGTTCCACGCTCCCGAAAACAGTACTGCATTCAGGCTACGTGTCGTGATCCTGTGAATTTTTCCTGATTCTCTTACAACAGCTCCACGAGGATTAAGTTTCCCGAAAACGTTTTGAATTACAGTGATTATTTTATTTCAGATGTGATTTATGTGCATAATGAGCACATTCCAAGATTTTCTAAGAAATGTTTAGCTCTGGAATTGTATATTCGTGAGATGTATCCTGAGATAAAAAGTATGTCCAGTGCAAAAAAAAAATGAAATTAACATCTTCGAAGGACGATGGAAATCCTTGTAGGTTACCACATTTAAAACTCTGATGATTCTAAAATGCATTTCTGAATTTTCAGTCCTAAAACGTTTGCTTGTATTGTACTCTCTGAATGCGTACAATTCTTATATCATTGAAAAGTGAAAGGTTTGATAATTAGGCTATTAAGATTGAGAATTCTCCCCTTTTCTCATAAGGCTTGACTGTTCAAGCAAAAATGTGCATACAGTACAATTGTTTTCACGTGAAAGGAGTTTTTGAACTATCTGCCTCTAGCTCAGCAAGGACGTATAATATGTTCTTCCACGGCTGATGTTCACAACAGGTAAAATGAGCAATAATTTTGGTGAACATCTGAATAAGCTATGACACTGTGAATTTCCAGGATATTGAATTCCTGGCACAGTGACTTCCCATGCTGGCAGCTGCTGGGCGTTCGGGTCGTATATTAAGCTAAAAAGAGTTTAGCTATGTCATGATATTTTGAATAATTTTAGTGCCAAACAAATTCAAATGGATGATTTAATATGTAAGCTCATCATGAAAGAAATAATGGAAAATTAAAAATAAAATGCGTTCTGTGATTTATCTTGGGAAACCATAAAGGAAAACCAAATTTCTGCCATTCATATTTAGTTTCCATCCAAAAAATCATGAATGATGTTAGGAACAGTTATATTTAATATTTAATTATATTCAAAAATGCACTCCTATATTTTATTCAAACAGGCTTTCTTTCCTGGAAAAAATATGTGTGCCAGGTACAATATATATGCCACTTTCAAAATGCTAGTAGGGTTTTCTTTTCATTCTACACATCAATGAAATCATGGTTTCGATAAAAAAAATTTATGAAAAACATATAGTTCAGAGTGATTTTTCTTGTTTTGTAGAGTGCTACATGCAAATCAGCACAGTAGACATAGGTTCTGTGTTTCCACAGTAAACCACCAGGAAAACCAAAAGATTAACCTATTTATTGGTTTTCAATTTTTACTTGTTGAATCAGGTACCATTTGGTATCCTGAGCACGAGTGAATTTGAAGATTGAGGACTTGAGGGAAAAGGGGTGAATAATATTATGTATTCTGGCTTAAATCATGAAATGAAGCCTCTAAAGAAATTGTGAGTTTTTCTTTACTGCCAGGCTTTTTACCTTTTGATAGGATGCGTATGTATTCACGTGTCATGAGAAGAATGCCATCAATACACAATACATTTAAAATTGGCTTGGGAATTTTCATTCTTGCTGTGGTCCATTTGACATTGAGGACACTCCCATCTACATCCAAGGTTGTCCATGTGTGAGTATCCCTAGAAAAGTCATATTGCATAACTGCATATGGGGAGATTTGAAAGAAAGTCTTGAGATTGGATTACTTTATTTGCATGATGCTTGGCAGGTCAAAGCACACAGACATAAATTGTTGGAGACTTGCTGTGCATCCCCTTTTTGGAAAATCAATTATAAATATTTGATTGGGTGGAAAACCACCTGCGTGTAAAAAAACGGATGAAAAGTTGTCAACAACTTTACCCCTCCCACAAAAAATGCAACTGTCTTGGCACCAAGACGTCCTTGATGACCAATTTATTGGCCAATCCCAGGCCTCCAAGATTCTCCTGCCCTTGACCAAGGAACAGAGAAGGAATTAATAAATACCCCTTTTTTATCCCAAAACAGTACAGCCTGATCTGGCTGCAGAAGCAGTGCGTTTGAGAGGTTTTCTGAGAGGTTTTTGGTCAAGCTCAAAGTTCTCATTATTTTGTAACAACTTGTTTTCTTATGTGATTCTGTTCAAGTTTAATTGGGACTTTGAAATATACTTTAATTGTAACTAGGGATTCCACCGTGAATTCCCGGCCCCAGTCCCGGGCTGAGTCTGTGTTTCTCTTCAAACCTTTTTAACTTTTCTTTTCAGTACAACCGTATTGTGGTGACCTTTGTCCCCAACATAAAAGATGCTTTGATTGATCATAGGCTTGGTTGGACTTTTTTTTACAGACTGTATTCATAAAGAAAGGATCTCTGGATCAGGTTTTCCAAGTCACACTTGCCTTCTTGAGATGATGTGGGTCTGCATCAGGGTTGTCAAAAATGTAATTGCTTAATCGCCATCACTATTTGGCAGATAACTTTTCTCACAATTGAAATTTCAATCATTGCTGCATGTTACAATATTGCCCCATCAAAAGTCTGAGCACAGATCCATTCAATATAATCTTACATATATTTAAATGAAAAATAATTCAATAAATGGGAATTAAAATATAATAAATAATGGTAAAAAATGCAGAAATATTGAGTTGCCATCATTTTCTTCTTCCTTTTTCTTGGATGACAAAAATCACAGCACAAAGTAATTACTGAGTGAAAATTAAATAATAAGGGCTTCAGCATGCTATTCCCAGATAATTTTTTAATATTAAAGAATTAGGGAAGAATCTTTGAGAAGAAAAATTCAAAATGTATTGAATATTTTTCTGCAGGCCAGCAGGCTCAGAAACCATTCGGGTTTTTGAAGACGTGGATACTTGGGATGAAAAAATCATCGGAAATGGGAGACAACGAGCAAAGATTGACCCTCGCATAGCTGGCAAAATCGACGTGACCTCAGATGACTGGGAGAAACCCTACGTACCAGATAAACAAGAAGACCCCCTGGGAATATTTTCAAACCCAAAACTGCCGCAAGACGACCCAGTGCTAGTGGAATACATCCGCCAACGGGTTCTCGTGCCTCCTTCGAAAATGGACTACAATCTCCAACGACCTGAAATTCGAGACCCGTCCGAAGAAGAGGCAACCACGAAGTTCATGATGTCATTGTTGGACTCAAACTTGGTGAGCATATGAGTTTGCTGTGTTGTGCAATGGCTGTTTTTCATTGTTTTCNAAGCCTCTAAAGAAATTGTGAGTTTTTCTTTACTGCCAGGCTTTTTACCTTTTGATAGGATGCGTATGTATTCACGTGTCATGAGAAGAATGCCATCAATACACAATACATTTAAAATTGGCTTGGGAATTTTCATTCTTGCTGTGGTCCATTTGACATTGAGGACACTCCCATCTACATCCAAGGTTGTCCATGTGTGAGTATCCCTAGAAAAGTCATTGCATAGCTGCATATGGGGAGATTTGAAAGAAAGTCTTGAGATTGGATTACTTTCTTTGCATGATGCTTGGCAGGTCAAAGCACACATACATAAATTGTTGGGGACTTGCTGTGCATCCCCTTTTTGGAAAATCAATTATAAATATTTGATTGGGTGGAAAACCACCCGCGTGTAAAAAAACGGATGAAAAGTTGTCAACAACTTTACCCCTCCCACAAAAAATGCAACTGTCTTGGCGCCAAGACGTCTTTGATGACCGATTTATTGGCCAATCCCAGGCCTCCGAGATTCTCCTGCCCTTGACCAAGGACCAGAGAAGGAATTAATAAATACCCCTTTTTTATCCCAAAACAGTACAGTCTGATCTGGCTGCAGAAGCAGTGCGTTTGAGAGGTTTTCTGAGAGGTTTTTGGTCAAGCTTGAAGTTCTCATTATTTTGTAACAACTTGTTTTCTTGTGTGATTCTGTTCAAGTTTAATTGGGACTTTGAAATATACTTCAATTGTAACTATAGGGATTCCACCGTGAATTCCTGGCCCCAGTCCCGGGCTGAGTCTGTGTTTCTCTTCAAACCTTTTTAACCCTTCTTTTCAGTACTTCCTTGTTGTGGTGACCTTTTTCCCCAACATAAATGATGCTTTGATTGATCATAGGCTTGGTTGGACTTTTTTTTACAGACTGTACTCATAAAGAAAGGATCTCTGGATCAGGTTTTCCAAGTCACACTTGCCTTCTTGAGATGATGTGGGTCTGCATCAGGGTTTTCAAAAATTTAATTGCTCAATTGCCATCACTATTTGGAAGATATCTTTTCTCACAATTGAAAATTCAATCATTGCTGCATGTTACAATATTGCCCCATCAAAAGTCTGAGCACAGATCCATTCAATATAATCTTACATATATTTAAATGAAAAATAATTCAATAAATGGGAATTAAAATATAATAAATAATGGTAAAAAATGCAGAAATATTGAGTTGCCATCATTTTCTTCTTCCTTTTTCTTGGATGACAAAAATCACAGCACAAAGTAATTACTGAGTGAAAATTAAATAATAAGGGCTTCAGCATGCTATTCCCAGATAATTTTTTAATATTAAAGAATTAGGGAAGAATCTTTGAGAAGAAAAATTCAAAATGTATTGAATATTTTTCTGCAGGCCAGCAGGCTCAGAAACCATTCGGGTTTTTGAAGACGTGGATACTTGGGATGAAAAAATCATCGGAAATGGGAGACAACGAGCAAAGATTGACCCTCGCATAGCTGGCAAAATCGACGTGACCTCAGATGACTGGGAGAAACCCTACGTACCAGATAAACAAGAAGACCCCCTGGGAATATTTTCAAACCCAAAACTGCCGCAAGACGACCCAGTGCTAGTGGAATACATCCGCCAACGGGTTCTCCTGCCTCCTTCGAAAATGGACTACAATCTTCAACGACCTGAAATTCGAGACCCGTCCGAAGAAGAGGCAACCACGAAGTTCATGATGTCATTGTTGGACTCAAACTTGGTGAGCATATGAGTTTGCTGTGTTGTGCAATGGCTGTTTTTCATTGTTTTCAACCCTTTTTTGGTGGCAGGTCCTTTGCCATAATCCCACAGGATTGCAGGTTTTTTTTAATGCACAAATGCAGCTTTGGCTGAGTAGTTAGAAGTCAGGAAAACTCTGGGAAAGGGAAAGCCATTGTTCTGACAATTGTTCAATGCTAATCCTATGGCAGGAATGCAGAAAAAATGCCAGGAAACAGTCCCCTTTTTTTGCTATTCCACAAAAGGTTTTGTACAGGAATACCAAAAAAATCTGGAATCTTTTCCAAATTTGGTCCTTCTAATCTTTCTTGTTTTCTCATATATTTTACTCCTCCTGGCACAAAATTTGGCGGATAAATCCTGGCACCGCAGCTCATCAAAGATTGAAGAAAGAAAGTTTTTCAATGTAGTTCTCCAAATCCCCAATACCTAAATGTGTTTAGTACTTTTTACACTATGCATTAATAAAGACATTTCTATAGTAAAAACTAACTTCAACTTCGAGGTGTGAAGGAAATTTCTGGAAAAATCTTAAGTTCTGTACCGGTTCGTATTTGCATCGAACGGAATATATAATTTGTGCCACTCAATAAAAGACAGTTACAGCATTTCAATAAACGTGTTTAGTTTCAAGAACGTTTAGAGTAGTATGAATGTTCATGTTCAAAAAGGAATGGAACAAAAAATTATGGAAAAATTTCAAATGTATACTTCAAATTGTAAATACAGTAACGAATTCAGCCAATTTATCTATTTACTGTCCAGAAGATGCATAAGTGCACAATTCATTTTCCACGTCGGAGAGCTTCACGAAATAGTCTCTCTCAAGATGTGCCACAATCATCTATATTAATCAATTTCAATTCTGCTGAAATTAATATTTTTTGACAATACCTATTATACCGGAATTGTTCTGCTTCATTTTGCCACACAGGTTTAAATAATAATATTGAAACGATACTTGGCTGAAACTACCCGGGACAATGGTAATTAAGACGCTTTTGTGAAAAATATGAAGTTGTTTTCCGTGTGACGTGTATAACCCTACGCACTAATTGAATCATTGAGATTTGACTCATAGCATTCTCATCACGAAAAGGTGCGGCGTGGCAGAAACGGCGAATCCAAAAATGATACGGGTCAACGAGTGTTCTTCGAGGCGGGTGCCCTGGACGGAGAAATCGCGTCTCGGACTCTGTTCCTGGAACGATTCAAGGGCTGGACAGGACTCACTGTGGAAATGACCCTGCCCAACATCAAACGTTACCTGGCCAAGCATCGCAAGGCCTGGTTCGCCCCCGTGTGTCTGTCCCCGGAACCCAGACCCGTCAAGAAGCAAATGCGCTTCGCCTACGACCCCAAGGACCCGTGGCTCGAACGCACGGGCACCATCAACAAGCACAAGTTCGACGTGGCTGACAAACGAGTCTTGTCCTCCCGACTCTACATTTACACCG